GGACAATGAGAACCATGACTAGGAGAAAAAGTAGTCCTTAGAAACAGACCCACAAAAGACGTTGATAGAACTAGCAAGCAAGGACTTTTTTAGGGTTCCTATATAATTACAGTGCAGAAAATTACAGCTGAAATAACTGCAAACTTTAGATGCTATTTAAGAAAGAGTGTCTAAGGAAACCAAAAGGTAATAGAGGAGATAAAAGCAAAGGTATTAGCTAAAATTTAACCTCTGATGCTATAGCTAGTGACAACAGTAATTACAGTATAACTGCTAGCTAGAAAAACATAAAACCTCACACTAAAAGTCTAGTTATTAAATTTCCTTTAATCTGTTATGATAATGTACAGGATTCAACAAAAAAATTACAAAGCATGCTAAAAAACAGTCTGAGGAGACAAAACAACCATGATAACTAGACTCAAATATAATGAAACTTTTCGAACTATCAGGCTGGGGATTTAAAACTGAACTACTTAATATCAGACAGTAATTTTAAATTTCCTATACTGTAATTAATATGCTAAGGACTATAATAAAAAAGTGAACAGCATATAAGAACAAATGGGTAGTGTAAACACAGAGAAGAAAACTCTAAGAAAGGATCAAAAGGAAATGCTGAAAATAAAATACATCATAATACAAATGAAGAATGCCTTTGATAGGCTCACAAGTGGACTGAATATAGCCAAGGAGGGAGTAAATTAATGAGAAGCAGTATCAATAGAACTTCCCAAACTGAAATGCAAAGATAAAAAATAATTAAAAATTTAGAAAAAGATTAAGAACTTGGACAGAAGGGGGATAAGAAATGGTATAAAAGATACATAACAGGAATACTAAAAGGAGAAAAAAACCAAACAAATGTTTAAAACAAGCATGGCTGAATAGTTTTCAAAAATAATGACAAACAACAACCCATAGATTCAGGAAGCTCAGAGAAAACCAAGCACGATAAACAAATACCACAAATAATCTACAACTTCAAGAGAAAAATTATTCCCACTAATAAAGGGTGATACTTCCTAGTTATGTGAGCACATATATGTTGTACATTAAACAAATATTTAATGAAAGCCAATTTTTATTTCAGCAGCTCTCTTATGTCCAAAAAATAAACAGAAATTAATAAGATCTGATATTGTAGCTGGTCTTTCTATATTTTTTCTTTTTCCTTCTACTCACCTATTTATTTCCTTCCTCCCTCTTCTCTCTATCCTCCATCTATTAAAATATATACATCTTAGTTTAATAAATGCATCATCTATAGCTTAAATAGCAGCCAATAATTGGTTAGTAATGTAACAAGAAAAAATATATTTGATTTTATTCTTCAAATCAACTAGCTTTTCTCATTTTTGAGGTTATGGAACATCTTAAAAAAGTGTAAAGTACCTCACAAAGTAGACAGGAAGATTTAGTAAAAAGAATATGAGTAAAAAGAAGTCCGCACATTTGGTAAAAAAATGCCTAAAACCAAATGCTGCGCAGCAATATTTTTATTAAGAGATGTGAGAGAATATGATTTATACTAAATATTCAATAGATTTTATGAAAATATTTGGAAACAAACTTACAAATATAGATTTATAATTTTAAAGATAAGACATTTGATTGTTTTTATTTTCAGATTGTTAATTAAACCTATAACATAATTAATCTTCTAGTGAGTGTGTTGCTTTTTATGTTTGTTAATTTTATATATTTAGAGGACAATATAGCATTTAGTAAATATTATAATTTATAATGGACTAAAAGGCATTTGCAGTATGTTTGCAATGTGGCAAAGATAATCTAATTTATTTTCTGAAAACTATTGACAAGCATATATGAAACTCCTTTTGGTAGCAGCTAACATTTGTAAGTTTTCCAAAGCAGCAAAAGTATTTTCACATACATTTTGTTGTTTTGAAAAAATGAGAAATGTATCTGCACTCCAATTATACAAAATGTAAGATTGTTACACCAGGTATTTTAACATTACCACTTTGACCCAATAGATTCTTCAGACTTTCCATTGTTACCCCAAGGTATTTCAATCCTGTTAATGACTTCTTTTAATAAACTTAATGTAAACATTGATTAATTTCATTAGAAAACAATTTACAGAGTATACTCCATTAAATCAAGTATTTCTTGGTCAATTTTCTATGAAATATTTTTTGTAATTTTTATTATTTTTCTATTCTCATTTAATATTAATTCCAGTGCAATAGTTATTTTCTGCATAAACTTAACAAACATGATTTATCTATCAGGTGTTCCTTTTTTATCTATCAGAGATGTGTGTGTACAAAAGAAACCCCTGATAGATAGATATTACATTTTTAATAGATTTTTTTGATAGATTTTATATTTTGGGAGGTTTTTAAACTATTAATTTTCCAAATCAAATTTTTCTGGATCAAATATTGCTAGTTTAAATTTTGTCAAAAGTTTAAGGACTCCTTTATGTTTTTAAAATTATACATTTTACGTTGAGCAATTTAACAATATGTTGATTGTTCTCATCACCAGGGGTTAATAGAAAAAAAGAGATTGCTTTATTTATTTCTAAATTATTCCATATACCTCATATATTCCAAGTTTTATTTTTCCTGATTGAATATTATCACCTGTGTGTGGAGAGAGAGAGAAGAGAGAGAGAGAGAGAGAGACAGAGAATGTGGCACAGGTTTACCCTTGGTCAATTCAGGTAAAGGGTATATGATGACTATGCATTACTTTTTCAACTTTTCTATAGATTTGAATAATATAGAAATTAAGAAATTGGTAAGTAAGCAGTTCAAAGACTATATTGATCATGTTCTCTCTCCTTCTGTTTCATGCTTTCTTCTTCTTGTTTTTTAAATCCCAACTTGACCCTAATTGCCACTTTCTCTCTTATACTAGCATCAATCCTGAGGCAGAGAGAACAGAACTGGGCTGGGGAAAGCTGAGAATTTATACCCCTCTGAGACAGCTACTCTCTTTGAACATCCTCACTAAATCAAACACTGTTTACATAAAAGTAGAATGAAATTTGCATTTTGGCTTTCGAATAATTCAGTGAGCATTATTACATAAATGCTAAGCCCAAGGTTTAATGTGTTAACATGTATTATCCATTCTAATCTTCACAACAAACATACTAGTTAGGAATCATTATAAATTCTTTTGGACGAGAACATGGAAATCATAGAGTTTATAAGCATGTTTGTTAACAATCAAGTAACTCTTGAGAAAATTGGGAATTGAATCTGTCTCCAAGGATTTCAGAAGCAGTTTTCTTACCATTTACTTAGAAGTTCCTAAATTCAGATTTTAAAATCAGGTAGGCTTAGGTTTGAATTGCTCTCTTCCTCTGAATAGAAACATATAACTGAACAGGTTACTCTCTAATCTGAGCCTCAGTTTCTCATATGTAATGAAAACATAACTTGTCCTGCAAGATTTTGACAATTATATACATTGTATCATAAATTCTCAGTTATAGGTGCTTAGCAAATGAAACTATTTTCATTAGATTCATGAGAAATAGCCTCAACATTTTCACTTATTTTATTGGGGGAGGGCATTTTTAAATTTCTGGAATTGATATTTCCTGATGCCAAATGCAATGAAATAAGCTATTAGTATTCTTTTCAGATATTCTCTTTCACTGGTTTTCTTTTTAAATTAATTATCTAATTCTCAAAGTATTTCCATGACATTTAATATTTTTATAAATCTTAACTTCTGAAAAGGCTTGAAAATGGTGAAAGTTCATCATGTCTTAAAAGGCAGGTAAACAAATAAAAACTGATGTAAAGCCCCTATTTGTCACTTTCTTAAGAATGACTTAATCAATCAATAATTATTTATTTGACAAATGCTATGAGACTCATACTGTATGAAAAGAAAATATGGCCTCTTAAATCCATGGGAAATGACTATTCTGAGAAATTTAATTCAAAGATACATAAAATTCCATCTATAGAAAAGAAACTAAGATTGAGTAACCACCATTATTTGGATTGCTGAGTATGTTTAACTTAATGAAATGACTGAGATATTTAAGGATGTTTTCCAGATTTTTAAGACTAAGTCACTATTTCTAAATGCGATGGCCACATTAGGAATAGACTTTGGATTTAGAGGTTAGCCCTCTGAGCTTACCTCTGAGTCAGTTAGGTCTTTTACTACTCAAAGTAAGTTCTGTTTACAAGAAGCATGACTAATTTATGCAAGCTTTTTAGAAATGAAGAAATCAAACATCACCCCAGACCTATAGAGTCAGAATATTAATTGAACTATGTCCCCAGGTAGTTCACATGCATGCTAACATTTGAAAATGACAGTCTAGTCTATTTGTCTTTTTTTTTCCTGATATTCACAAGCACAAAATTTGTATACCTCCAAAAAGCAAAGAGGTGTTCTAGATATCCCATGTAAAAATGTGGGTATTTTCCTGGCTTAAAAGTATTCCAGATATCTCCCTAATAAATAGTTATCTGAGTAAAACAAAAACGCCTCCACTACTAAGGAAGTTGGGGCTCAATTCTAATTATCAACTATGAACAATGGACTTTTATCAGTCTTATTTTGTAAATGAGCAGTAATTTTTTATTTATCAGAATTGTTGGTTAATTAAGCAAGGAAATTCTCCAGGCAATGTATTTCTGGATGTAGGATAAGAGGCAGTGAAGGACATGTAGAAGGTTTAGTAACTTGCCCATCATTTTATACAAGCGCACTTATTCCCTTGCAATGTGCTTCCTAAAAGGGTCTTATTATGCTTAAACTAAAGGAAATATCAGCACATGTAGGAGAGAATTGCAGCCTTGATCATTTCCAATTGCAGCCCTGAGCATTGTTTGAGTATTAGACATGTTTGTTTAAATACAAATCAGAAAGTTCCACTGCTGCCCAGCATTTGAAATCTACTTGGTAATTTACCTTAGTACAATATTTGAATAACAAAAAGGTTTTTAATTAAAAAAAAATTAAAGCAACCAGGAAAACAAAAACAAAAACCTTACTTTCCAAGGGCAAAACATTCCAGTTTTACAGATGAATCCTTTGCAGCTTGTATAGTTTCAGGAAAACGCACTTCAATCTTTGGTTCATATTCCCCCATCACACCTGTTAAATATCAAAAGAGCTAGCAGCATTTCTGGAGAATAGAAATTTTCTATGAAGTAAATGCTTCATTAACCAAAACCTGATTATGTCTTCTTAATAAGAATTAGGGTTTTCAATTAAGAATTTGATACATACAGATTCTAAAATGTTTCTGTGTTTTCAAAAAAAGACCCTTCTCTAGTGATATCCATATTTATCTATCTTTGACAGAACTCAGAGAGCCAGATCTGATTTTTAAAAATAAAATAAAATAAAAATTTTTCAGCTAACATTGTAAGAAGTCCACGGAGGTAGGTCTTAATCCAAAATAACAGTATTTCTGTAGCAAAACTTATAAAGTCATAACATTAATTGAGATAAGTATATAAATATTCATGTATTAGTACAGTGAGTTTTGCTGCTAAATAAGTTTGCTGTATACCTACAAAAATTTGTTTTAAGTTTTAAAATTTTCAATCAAGGGAATTGAGGATATCTGCTAAGATAAGAATAAGATAGTGGTTCTCTACCTACCAGAGAAGCCGTAACAGAAATATATCTGTAGGCTATTCTCATTATCTTAATTAATTTTATCAGTGACATCTCAAGATTATTTAAATACTTTGATCATTTTTAATTTATACACCAAACACCAGATTAATACATTCCTAAAATAAATAGATTGTTGCTGGCTAATATAATTGCAGAAAAAGTGAAAATTACAAAATATATATGAAATAAAAATACTTCATTTTTAAGACCTTGATCATTACAAACATTTAAAGAGGTTATGGTGAGAAGGTAGTGAATACTACTTCATTCAACTAAGTTGATAGATTCTATTCTTTTTCGCTTTCTTGATGTCTAATATTACTTGCATGAACACTTTTAGAAGAGGTTTGGTTATTATTTTATGTATAATGCTTCTGCTCTATTTTTACCATATATGTGTTCAAGGGAATAGAGGGGATAGAAGAAAGAAGGGATTAAGAAGGGAAGAAGCAGAAACTAAGAGTAGATAGAAAACAAAAAAAAAGGAAAAACATGGTAGAATCTCCAAGTGTATTGTTGGCTCATGAATTTTTCCAATCATAAATAGCAGGACTCATTGAAGGAGAGAAATTGGACTTAGGAATAAGTCTAATGGTTGCTGAAATCTTAATGAAGGCCTTGCAAATATATTTAGGTGGTTAGTGATTATAAAAACTCTATTATAAAAGCTCTTTCTATGGGACTTGTTTCACAATTCTGTTAGCCTTTATTAGCGTTTTATTCTTGCTTTTCTTCAGCTCTTTGGAGGGGAGAAAAACTCCATGAAATATTGCATTTCAAGTCCTGAATACAATCATAAAATGCACCAACAAATTTTCTATCTTTATGAATCCCACTGTGAACATTTAATTAAAGAAACAACTAGAGAATTTTTCTACTTCAATGACTTCCTTCAACTTTCTGGCTCTTTAAATCTTGTACCAGCTATGACTTGACTAAGCTACAAAACTCGTCAGAGATTAGTCTGAATTATGTTCCTTCGATGAATATAATTAGCATAAATCTTGTGTTTTGTTCTTCTTTGGAATGCTCATAATTAATGTTAGTCTGCTTTGCTTTCCTTGGATATGAAATTTTCCCTCCATTTTGCCAGCCATGTAAATAAAGGGTGAACAAAAAAAGAGCAAATATAGAAAATAGGGGGCATTAAAAAGTAGCTGTAACATATGTTCATTAAACATATATTGATTCAATTATATAAGTTTGGCAGCACCCACACGTGCACACATACACACACGCCAACTCCCCCAAACATCAGTTTTGCTTTCACAGAGTAGTTTTTAAGCAAAAAAAGACAAGCTGTTTCAGTGCCAGAAAGGAGATGGCTTGGTATACACAGGACCATGTATACTGCACCACGTGGGTGAATTAGAGAATTTTTTATTATATTTCTGGTTTACATATTTGTGAATTGAACCTAAACTCATAGATAATGTGGCTCCACCAAACAAGAAGGAAGCAGAAAGCTTTGGAGATCTTCCCAGGCTTTAAGGGCCACAGATAAAGTATATTCCCAAGATAACTCATTATCTTACCATCAGTACGCTGCACTAATGGAGTGGGTGGACCTTGAACAATTCTCTGGGCCTCCTTGTTTGTTATAAGGCAAGTGTAGTTGCCCACATCTGATGGTTCCACTTTGGCAATGTACAAGTTTCCTGTTTCTTGAGATACAAATCGCCTATTGTCCTCTTGGACATATAAGGGGTTATCATTGAAGGTCCATGAATAAGATAAATCTGAAAAACAGAAAAAGAAAACCAAAATCATACTTTTCTTACTGCATTCATTCATATCTGAAAATTCTTTGTCTTACTTCCCCATAACTAGAAGAAAATTGTTCCTCTATTTGCTCAATAGCTGTCATCTGGGGTAATTGTAATGTTCCCTTACATTGAAATATATCTCAGTTTTGATGATAAATTATCTGGGCACTTTGCCATCATTGACGTTTTGAGATTAAAGATGTAACAATAGGATGTTAAGGAAGTAAGTGGATGAGTTTATTAAGAAATGCCATAAGATATATATACACTGAATTCCTTCAGCAAAAGTTATGCTGCTTCAAAGCAATGTTTCTCAATGCATTATCAGAAGAATTAAACATACTTGCAGGTACTTGTTAAAAATTTAAGTTTAAGAACTCTACCACAGATCTTGAAGTTCATTCATTTGATCATCATATAATTTCCTTATATTTTTATAGAGACAGGGTCTCACTATGTTTCCCAGGCTGATCTCGAACTCCAGAGCTCAAGTGATGCTCCTGCTTCAGCCTTCCAAAGTGCTAGGATTACAGGCATGAGCCACTGCACTGGCCTGATTATTACATAATTTCTAAGCAGCTATTCTGTGACAGTTTTAGGTCTTAGAGTAAAACCAAACAAAATCTGTGTGCTATGAAGGTCACATCAGCCACTGCTAATTGCCAATAATGTGGATAATCTCAATGTAGGATGACATATGCTTTGACAAAGGCATTATAGGCATTTTTTTCTGCAACTGCAACCACTACTGGATTTCTAGCATCATAAATTATTTCCGCTATCATTTGTATGTCATAGAAATCAAACAGGATGGACTATTTTATGTCTGATTTCTTTCATTTAACATAATTTAAGGTTCATCTATTGTTGTCATGACTGTAAGTCCTTTCTTCCATTATATTGTGGATGGTATTCAATTTTATGAATATATCATAATTTGTTTAGACACCTTTCCGTTGATGAGCATTTGGATTATTTCCAGATTGAGGTCATTATGTATTAGGCTGAAATAAGCATGCTTGTCTAAGACTGTCTGTGTACATTTTTATTTTTCTTGCTTAGGTTCCTTGGAGTAAGCCATAATGTAGCTGTATGTTTAATTTAATAGGAAATGTCAAAAGAATTTTCTAAAGTGGTTGTACCAGTTTATACTTCCACCAGCAATATTTGAGGGTTTCAGTTGTCCCATAGCCTCACAAAAATCATTTGCCGTCAATTTCTTTTTTAGCCAGAAATTTTTGAGCAAAGGTAAATATTCATATGTATTAAAGTTTAGTGAATTTAATTCTTCGTGAAGCTAAAAAATTAGCTGTACTGTGAAAACTAGGTAGAACAGAACTACGTCTAGGGAAGTGGAAGAATACAGTTGGTCCAAAGGGGACCCCTCGAATAGGTAGAGTGTATATGTAGGTACTCAGGGTTAAGAAGGGGAATGCACAGCAGCTAAGTAAAAACAAAAAAAGCCTTCACTTGGATGGCCCCTCACACATTTTGGAATCACAGCTCACAGGGAAGCAGTTTATGCATCTTGGAGCCTCTTGTCCAGAGAGATGAGTTCCTATTTGCCAACTGTACTTATATTAAAAGCTGGCACAGAAGCAAGACATGGCAGAAACAAAAGAAACAAATTATTTCTGGTATGTTCCAGCAGGCTTCCTCAGCTGGGAACAGACCATCTGAAACATTCTTCACTAACCTTGCTAAATTTAAATTACAAAAAGTACATGGTGGCAAAAGAAACTGACACCTATTTTGGACTTAAATCTGATCTGTAGAGAAAAACTCTTGAAAGTGGGAATGAAGGAATATTGTCAATTTATCATCCCTTCCATCAAGAAAACAAAAATGTATAAAGCATGAACCATACACTTAAGGAATGAGATTTTTAGGAAGAAAGAAAGAAAAAAGGGAGAAAGAAAAAATGGAAGAAAGGAAAGGTGAAATGAAGGAAAGAGAAGGAAACAGTGAATATATTAGTAGTGGGAAGGAGCAAAAGAATTACTTTTTCACAATAATTTATAAATAATGTCAGTAAAAAGAAGTTTACCTCTGCAGACAGAATCCAGATACCATCCCCAGGAATGAAGAAGACATGAGGTAAAGATTTGACCAGGAATAACAGTAACACAGCAAATGCTACTTGTGCACGAAGTGAGAAAATGCAAAAAGTGTCATTTAATCTATAAAAGTAGTGTCAGGTAGGAAAAAATACCTAAGGAGCAGTTTTATGTAAAAAGCATGTTATGAGTGTGGGAACGTGTGTGTGTGTGTGTGTGTGTGTGTGTGTGTGTGTGTGTGTGCTTGCAATGTTTATGCAGATTATTACATTTAAAAACATGGAGATGTATACAGTGGTTTTCTCAGAGTGGGTGGAGGGAAATACAAAAGGCTTTTACTCTCTTTGTAATGTGTTTCTGTCATATTAGAATTTTAACTTAATATCCATTTTTTGGTGTAAATTGAAGAAAGAAAAAACAGGACAAGAATAGTGTCAGAAAGACTAAACACCAGAATGAGGTGCAACTTGTAAAAACAGAATGGATAGCATTTCTTATTGTTACTCTGAACTGTTCAAATTGGTGTTTTATGTTTTATTCAGGCATTAATTCCCAAACCTGATGCACATTAGAATCACGAAGGAAGCTCGTTAAAATACAAATAGCTAACTCAATTCTTAGCAAGTTAGTTCTATTTATTCTGTCTAAGCCAGGTGTTGTGGAATCTGTGTTTTTAACACCCTCCAAATGATTCATGCAATTGACTAAAATATTTTGTTAAGAGCACCCATTATTGAAAGAGGAATTAAACATCTCAAGTTTATCAAGAGATAAAAAACAAAATGTAACAAAGGCTAGTCACAAAAGAAAATGATACAACCTTTATTTTAGCACTGGAAAAAAAGATTTTGGAAGCATATTACAGCTGTCTTTATACATTGAAGGGCTGCCACGTGTATAAAAAGTTAAATAAAACCCTCTCTATCAATGTTCGGAAGGCAAAAGTAGAACTTGTGGCTGCTGGAGGTGACAGAATGCTGTTAGACTTAATATAATGAAGAACAGTCTAAATTTTAGGATAGTAGTAGATGATTTACTAGGTAGTGAGCTCTTTATCATTAGACATGATCAAGCTCTGTATGGATGAACACTTGTGTGTACCTGTGCAACAATCTTGCATGTTCTTCACATGTACCCCAAAACCTAAAATGCAATAAAATAAATAAATGGGAAAAAATAACCAAACAAATCATACAATCACACACACACACAAAAAGATATTTTGACAATGGATGGAGGTTAAAGCTTAGCTTCTATGAATGGTTTACTCCACCCTCAACATTCCTTTGATCTCCCTACGAGAGTCTATGCTTTTGGATCAAATATGCATAAATGCAATTTGCTTTTTATTTTTGAAAAATGCTTTGAGATTCTTATGCTGTTCTCATGTATTGAGTCTTTATTTTCTTTTGCAAGTCCCTGTTGGAGTCTTTCATCGTTCCATGTGGTCTCTTGCTTCAAAGTTTCTTTACTGATGTCCTTTGCTGCCTCACTTCTAAGCCTGTTGCTGTCTCTACCAAAGAGACGCTCAAAGGGTATTTGTTTGAAACCAGAGTTGTCTAGATAGTAAATTTTTCTTCAATATAAAAAGGAGGGAAAAATATAGTTCAGATTCTCCTGTTGTCATTGACTCCTCATCTTTTGAACTGTTTGTGAAATAAAGACAATCTTGAGCAAATTCCTAGGGCTGTGTCTCAGCTTATGGATCCTTATTCAATGCCTATTTGTGGAGAGAAATAAGCTTTAGCTCTCTGAAATCCAATGTCACTCCTTTCACTTAAAAAAAATTACAGGTTGCCACTAGTGCCCAAGAAATCTTTGTATTCTTCAACCTGTAATCTTGTGACCGGGTACTGTAATTTTCCTCTCTCCCTTGGTGAATTCATTTTTACCTTAGCTGCTAAAACTTTCCAATCCATTCCTACTTGCGGTGTATCCTTCTTTAATAGTGGAATATTTAGAAGCTCCTGGAAGAATCTAGTCCAGAAATAAGAACGATTACATAAAGATTAATAATAAATTTTGAAAAAACTTTCATCATGCCAGCAATTGCTTTATGAGGCTAAAACATATTGCTAATAGACAGAAGAGCAGAAGATCAAACACCGCATGTTCTCACTCATAGGCGGGTGTTGAACAATGAGAACACATGGACACAGGGAGGGGAGCACTACACACTGGGATCAGTTGGGGGGAAATAGGGGAGGGACGGTGGGGAGTGGGGAGCTGGGGAGAGAAAGCAAGGGGAGAAATGCCAGATGTAGGTGATGGGGAGGAAGGCAGCAAATCACACTGCCACGTGTGTACCTATGCAACAATTTTGCATGTTATTCACATGTACCCCCAAACCTAAAATGCAATAAAATAAATAAATGGGGGAAAAATATCTCTGTTATAGAGAGAGGTTCAGGAACTAACAGTATAAAGGTAATTTCCCAAAATTGTATTCATAACACGTGGGAGGAGTAGGGCTTGAACATAGATCCTGCAGATGCCAAATCTTCACTCTTTTTCTAATGATACTGTCAGATGCCTTTGAACCAGAGCAACTCCATCTTGAATAGGGGCTGTGTAAAATGAGGTTGAAACCTACTACTGGGTTGCATTTCCAGAAAGTTAAGGCGTTCTAAGTCACAGGATGGGATAGAAAGTCAGCACAAGATACGGATCATAAAGACCTTGCTGATAAAAAAAGGCTGGAGTAAAGAAGCCCACTAAAATACACCAGCACCAAGAAGACAATGACAATGACAGTGACCTCCAGCCGTCCTCACTGCTACACTCCCATTAGCGCCAAGACAATTTACAAATGCCATGGCAACATCAGAAAGTTACCTTAAATTGTCTAAAAAGGGGAGGCATGAATAATCCACCCCTTATTTACCATATGATCAAGAAATAACCATAAAAATGGAC